TACTGCTGCTCGTGCTGTGAGTGAGTTTGCCTTAACGTTCCTGGTATTTATAGACAATTGGTTCGTGATTGTTGACAGCGCACAGCGTCGCGCGGAATGCCATGAACAGCAGCATGACCAATGGCCAGCTACCAGTCGTACCCCTCCACAATCCCCCCTAACACGCACAATCCCTGCTGCAGAGCTGAGCGTAGGCATTTTTTGTGTGTGTGTGTGTGTTTTTTTTTTTTGCATGGGTCATAAAAATGGTACGAAATATGTTCGAGCGCCATGGCAGGCAGGAAATAGTGCGCAGTTCTCTGTTTTGGCAATTGATTTAGCGCTCGTGGCCATAGCAAATACACCAAATTTCGTTAGACAGCCATTGCAAATGCAAAAACATACAAAACAAAAACTGGCTAAAAGGAATTACATATATGTAGGTTTTGGTTTTTTCTGGAATTTCAAGATATGGCTGTGCGTAAAAAAGTAAGTCGTTAATAAAGTTCGCAGCAGCGGCAATTTTTATGAAGTTAATAAGAACAAGTACACTTAAGTTATTCGGGGAGCTTCAGGCCGTGGCAACTGTTGCTCGCATTTTACGAATAAATGGAGGTAAGAGATATCCGCCGGAAACCGCATTGGCAATTCCTTAAGAGATAAAGTTTTTGTTGACTCTGTCTCGATTCGAGCTAAATTAAATCTACCCAAAGTTGACGCCAACAACATTCGATACCCGGACAACCAGGGTTCACCTTCTATATTTAACCGAAAACAAAAGTTGTTCTTAATTCTCTTTATTCTCCTTAACAGTTACCTTTTCCTGAGCAGTCAGCATTTTAGAGATTTATAAAACTAGCTTAGACATAGAGAAAACTTACAAATATATGTTCAAAATTCTATGTTATAGTTACCAAAATAAAAAATAAATTGTGCAAAATGTTTACAAAAACACCACAGAATTCCTGGACACAAATACCGAATAATTCGGAAGAGCAAAAAGTGAAAATTGATCAGAATAGCCCGCCCAAGCGATTGGAATCGATGCTGAAGATAAGCAGCAGCTCGAACTTATCACTCACCAACAGCCCCGAGCAGGCGGAGGTGACGCGAATTGTGGAGAAGACTCTGAAACAGATGCAGGAAGTGTGCCGCTTCGAGGATTTCGATACTATAATGAGCCTGGTGGTGCCGAAAGTGCTATACGATTTGCATGCCTTTGATCAGCTGCACGAGGAGGTGCAGACAATTAAGCAATCTTTAAATTCCTACATACATCATTCCAAGGTGTTGAGCGAGGATATTGCTGAAATATTTCTGGATCTGCATAATATCTATTCGAAACTGGATCAATCGGATAAGCATTCGACGAAAAAACCACGCGACAAAAAGTTCACCAAACGCTTAAGTGAAGCTGAGGAATTCCTTAAGAATACCAAACACTATATCATCAATGATACAGGCCACGAGGCATCCAGTTCTATGCCCACAGTGCCAACCTCTAGCCAGGCAGATGAGTCGAAAGACAAAGATAGAGATACAGATATATATTCCAGTAGTGAGACAAGAAATGCCGAACGGCGTGCATTTCTCACCAACATGATAATGGTTAAGAAATCCGATTTCTCGCTGGAGCTGAATCGCAACAAGAACTATTATACGGAAGCTGAGAGGGTATTGAAGAACAAAGAGAACGGCAATACTGAAACATCATGAGGGAAAACATGAGCATATATAACATTTTATAGATATTCTAGATATATATTTAGAACTTATTTGTGGTCTTGAGTTTAATAAAATTATTACAATCATACGAATGTGTAAAACTTTTGAATCCTGATTAAATACAGTTCGGATATTGGATTTGTATCCTGACTTTAAATCAGCATTTAATACAACAAATAGTTGAACAATGGGTTTGAACCGGCGTACTGTAATTTTGCAAATTAGTAATCATTTCTGATTAGTTGTGCTTTTATACAACAATGTTTACAGCCGTAAAATGCTGACAATATTTGTAAATTTAAGCGATAGACGTTGCCGCTGCAACTCAAGTGCTAACCAAACAATACAAGAGTGCAAAATGCTGTGGTAAGCCACTTGAAGAAAGAAAAAAAAATACAAAAAATACTTGACTGTGAAATGCTTTGATTGTTACCTGAAGTGTATCTGTATCTCAAGCTCTCTTACGTGGGTGTGTGCTTGTAAATTTGCATACGAAACGTTGCCAAAGTGGCAACTCAGTTTGCTTCCTGTTGAATTTCGGGGCACTTCCATTCCATTAGCTTCTGCTTCGGGATCACAACAATTTAAAGTGCGGTTTTTCAAGCTCATTTTCATTGGCATTTTCATTTATGCTGCTAATCGCATTTGCAAACTCCAATCCAATGGAATCATTTTGAGTTGTTTCTCCGTTGCCATGGCATGCCGACAATTGGCTTTGTTATGACGAAATGGCAAAAGAAATCAACAGCAATTTAGATGCCTCGGCAAATGCATCGAGCATGGATGGCTCAAATCATTTTTAGAAAATTACGAGTGAGGGTTAACTTAATAAACATGTGATTTATACTTTTTGCAAAGGATATTTCAGTAAATGTTGTATCTTAGAACCATATTCAATGTCTGAGCTTCATCTAATGATAGTTTAAATTGTAATTAAAAATTCACAATAAACAACATAATAATTTGTACAAATTATTGGACATTTTTTTGGTGTCAGAAACAGTTTAAATTAAAAGCAAGCATTTAGTATTCACAAATATCAATACTCATTAAATAAAATAGAATTGTGAAATTGCCTGCAGAAAAATTGAAAACTCTTTGAACAGCTCCGGCTTTCTGTTGGCGGCAGTTGCCGTTGCTCAGATTGAATTCCTTTGCTCGAGCCATGGAGCTCTTAAACGGCATTCGATATTGTGCCAGTCTGTCGAATGAGGTTAATTCGATTATCGATATCAATAGCAGTGGCAGGCGATAATTGATTTTAGCAAACGCTGCAAACGATTAATTGAACGCAGGCTCTTTGGCCAGGGGCCTGATGGACCGGTTATGCAACGGAGCCTCAAACACCCCATCCTTTATGTTGCACACACACACACACACACAGTCTCACAATTATTGCCAAACAATTGAAGCCCTGGTGCTTGGCCATTCTATTGTTGTCTTTTTTACTGCTGTGCTGGCCATGTTGTGTGTGCGTGTGTGTTTGTGCACTCAAAATAATGGCCCAGCACATAGAAGACAAGCAGCCGGCACCACTTTAGGGCGAACTGAGGCTTGGCTTAGGGTGGGGAGGGGTTCGTTGGCTTGACTGCAGCCTGTAATGGCAGCATTTACTCAATTTTAGTACATAGTAAACGTATTTCTTTTATGGCCCCGGGCTTATTTGTGCACTGCAGACGTAGCTGCGTTCTATATTTATTTTCCAGTGTCCAGCACCCAGTTTTGTAGTACCCGCGCTCCAGTTCCATTCGCATTCACAAACACAAAGCTACTATACTATATCCTGACACAATATAAACGAACTTCGTTTCCTGAGTGGCCATTTTACTGGAAGGCTTTTCATATGTCTGCAAAAGGAAAAAACAAGAAAAAGCTCACCCAACCACCCGCTTTTTGCCCCCCAGTGAAAACCTTAGCAAATACTCGGCAACACAAAATATGATAAAGCACTCGCATCGCTGGGGCTGATGCTGTTGTTCCTGCTGCCTTTGCTTCTGGTTTGCTTTTAATTGCTTTGAAGTAAACACTGCGAATGCCCCTCGGTACATTCATAAATATGTGTATAATTGCCAGTCGGGCGAAGGCAGCAGTTTTCGTAATACTTCTAAATTTAAAGCCACGCTTCCTACACCTAGCCAAGAGCTTTACGTTGTGTGCCGTGTGTGTGTGTGTGTGTGTGCAAAAGGTGTTATTTAATTTAATGCCAGTTTACATATTTACCCCGAAGATTATTGTGGTCGCTATTGTCTGACACGATTTTCATAGAAATTATGAAATTATTTTAATGTTATTATTTCAATATTTTATTTCGTGGAGCTTTATTTTATGTATTTATATTAATTTAAATAAATTGTACTATTTATTTAACGAAAATAAATTTTACAATTTATTGCGCAGCGTATATGATTTTTTTATGTAAAAAAAGCAAAACCCTAATTTTTATAATATGAAAGCGACAGAAATATAAGTCGATAGGTGCTAGGGCAGCTACATTAGGCCATAAATTTATGGCCAAAAAGTAAACAGTAAATAAATGTTTATTGTGTTTTGCTGCATTCGTTAGCTCCCGCAGCTGTTTTAAATAATTATTTAACATTTTACATTGTTTAGTCGGCGTTTTTGTGTGCGAGCGGCCTTTGTTTGTTGTAAGGATTTAACCCGATTTGCATTTTGTGCAAACGTTTCATGAATGATTCATGAGTATTACCCAAACAGATGCTAACAATGATTCGATTTTCTATGGCGACAATGCCACAAGGACTCAACTCTGAATATATGCCATATTTAACGTGTCATACATATATATAATATATTTGTATATACAGGCTGTACAGGAGAGGATATAGAGTACATTTATAAGGAGTTTAAAGCATGTTAAAAATGTATATAAAAAGTTACGAATTTAAGATATTGTTAATATATCAAAATATATTTATAGCATATTATAAAATGTCTATTATAATAGAAAAAAATATTAAGGTAATTCCAGAATTTCCACCAGACTTGGGGGCAAGATTGAAAGTCTGAAACTCCTTCTTCACTTGCCCAGTTTTTTTTTTAAAAAAATTTCATTTAACAGAGAAGTCAATTCAAATCTTTTTTATTTTAAATGATGTACCAGTTATTTATATTTATTATTTAGTTTTTAATATAATTTTTATTTGTTCAATATTATAAATATTTTTATTTATTATTCTTACATTTAACATTTAATTACAATTACCTTTGATATAACATAGTTAATTGCCTTCATTTCTTTCAAGTAAAACACTTAGGAACTTTTTTAAAATAAATAAATGCCTATGATTTTTAGATTCAGAATTTAGTCATAGTTCAGGCTGAACAGGGATAGTTTATTTTATATTTTCGAGAGTTTGCTTTTTCTCAAAAACATACAGGAAGCATTACTCGTATAGGATATACACAATATAAACGATGGTAAGTGCTGGAGAGCCCATTATAATATGAATAATATGGTTGATCGACATCTCAAAGAAACGTACAGTCTGCAAACAACGTTTGGGCCCCGAGGAGCCTCGCCGCCAAACCAAGCGCAAGGGAGAATCAGCTAAGAAAACAAATTCGTGGATCTTTAAGAAACCCAATGCCGGACAAACCACATGGCTTACCACAACTGGCGAATTGATTGGGGTGCAGAACAAACATATTGCTGAATTGGGCATTAATATATACAATTACGAGGAGCCATACATTGTCGAAGTGCAGAACAGACAGAACAAACAGCCAAAAGTCGCCCCAATCGAGCAGAATATACCCCCAGCTGATGTCTTTGAACTTATTCGTGCCAAATGTCTGTATCAAGTGATAAAGCTGAATATGGCTACAAAAACATCAAAGGAACGTGTGCCGCCAAGCTCAGGTGGCCGCGAGAGATCGAAGAGAATCAAATCGAACACAGAAGTGTTCAAATCATATAAATTGGAAAAACTGCTTAGCAGCGAGCATGTACATCAGATATCCAGCAGAGAGCTATTGGAAAGAGTCAAAACTTCAGCTCCGCGTAAGATTCCACGGCCGAGCCGGGTAGTCAAGACGAAACGACGCATAACGCCCATACGCAATATGAAAAGGCAAAAGAAGTTTATGCAAGGCCTAAGGCAGAACTGGCGAAAGAAACACATTATGCCAGGTGGGTCTGGAAACAAAACGTCTAGATCCACAATAAATACCCTTTCTACAGAGTCCAAGAATATGGTGTATTGGATCAGCGTGGAGCAGCAAAACTTGGCTGCACCCAAATTGGCGCGATTTCATCCAGGCGTTACAATTGGCAGCCGAATTGACTTTGAGCTGATTAACGTGAAATCAACTAAGATGATCTTGAAAGAAACGCCAACGTTCTCGGCTCTGAAGAGTTCTAAAACTAAGAAGCTTTTTTGGACCCATCTATGCTTGTTCAGTTTAGTCGTATTTGTCATATCACCTTATTTGGCATCGCTCTGCACATGGTCGTCCAAGTGTTTGGAAACTAGGAGCAATGACACAGCCATGCGCTTGGGTATTTACATCTGCCATATCATTCTGTTAGTATTTGTCAAGTCTATTTAAGTAATGCTGTATTATGTTTCTAAATTGTAACTGCTTTATATAGCATTTTATAATGAATAGAATACAACTTTTGAGTATGCAATTGGTTTATCACGGGTTTAATGCCAGTTTTCAATCAAGGGAAGCTGGGTTTTGAACCAACCCGGCTGAAGACAAAATCTTAGCTCAAATTCCAAAACTATATAATAAAAGGATATAAGAATCATTAAAATAAATCGAGATGCCAGGAAATCGAACTAACAAGCGGGAAGCTGCAGGTACAAATTCACTAGCAATTTAAAATTTGTTTGTCTATTGGACTTATTACTCACAAGAAAAAAATAATAAAAAAATCTATTATATATATATGAGAGCGGCTTGCATCTCTTAGAAGTTGCGGCGAATTTCCCAAAGAATTTAGGTACAATTGGATTTTCCAACGCAAAGTAGTTTCTTGTGTGACCTAATCAGAGGACAGTTTGTTTCCAGAGAGAGCCTAGTCGCTATTTAAAAGTGGCTAGCTTGACACGCTCAAGATACACTTAACACATTTGAGGATGCATTGTATTTTTATCTTTTAGAACCAATCTGCTAAACGCTTTTGCAAACAGAATGTCGCTAGTCGCTGATGAATGCAAGTTAAACAAGTCGTCAGTCGTGAGTTGTTAGTCGTGAGCGGCTTTGTTCGCATTATGAAACGCAATGGTGAGGTGAACAAGAAAGGCCGAAACACCACGGCAAATGCAAGTCAAACAAATTTAAGTACTTTCATGCGCCATAAGAGCCACCTGATAGAAATCTTTTATTTGAATAGGTCGCCCAATCCACCAGGCACCCGGCCCAGCTGCCAACCAATCCACCCCGCTGGCAGCCCGCCTTTGCCACAGCTTTTTTACACGCGCTGCGCGCTGCAGGCGAGCTTTTATCTTAGAGACTAAATGCATTTTGCATATGGCATTTTTTGTATTTTGATCGGTGCAGGGGTTCGGGTACTGCTGCTATCATGTGCGTCTCTCGTATCTATGTGCTTTGTGCGATTTATGAATTAACTTTTTTGAATGAAGTCAACTTGCAACACAAACACACGAACACAAACACACAGAGAGAGAGAGAAAGACATGGCAAATCCTTACAAATGCTGCCAGACATATGCAAAAATAAAACTGCACTGCAATTGCACAAAGTAAAGCCGGCCCCCAAGCCGACCCGGTGTGGCAACCCCCTCAATAAGAATTTGTAAATGGCATATAAATAAAGAAGAAAAAAGAAGAAGAAGACGAAGCGTGCAGCGTAGAAATTTGCAGATTGCTTGGGCACTGATAAATGGCAGCTGCTCTCGTGTCTTTGACGCGATTTCTCAACAATTTCAAACCCCAGCCCTACCCTCTCTCTTTCTTTCACACACACTCTCTCGCTCTCGCTCACGCTCTGCATATCATATTAGTTGAACATTTGTGCATGCCTATAATTGAAATGCCTCTCGTGACTGACTGACTGAATGACTAACTGTCAGTCGGAACTCAACTGAAGAGAACAGAACTGAATGACTTGAGTTGCTTTTGGGTTTTGCGTTTGTTTTGACATAATTTCCACTTGCCTGGAAAAAGTGCCTGCATTATGTATGGCATCCAACCATATTTGCTGATTGCATATAGATAGAATTTGTCTTACGTGTTTACCAAGCCAAGTGTTCGGGGCCAGAGCTGACATTTTGTGTAATGCGGGCAATTGTTTTGTGGCTTAAACCATATACGATTTAGTATGAATGGCATGTGAATCAATGCGTTCAAAGATATTCAAGCTAAGACAAGCGGAACTAGTTCATTTCTATTCAAAAGGTTCTTAATATTTAGCTCAAGCATAGCGATTGCTATTCAAATGAATAGCTTTTGATATGAATGGGAATTTTAATTACGAAAATAACTTAAGCTTTATACAACTGGGCTAAGGATGCTGTCATATCGGAGCTAGTTCAACTGATATGAATAACTTTTGTAACCGGTGGAACTATTCATTTCTGTACAATTTTTTAATGAATTGACTATAATTTCTATTAATTGCCCAACAATAAAATACCTTTTCGTAAAGAAGTGGATGGCAGTGTCATTGTGGAACTAGTTCATTTCTATTTGAAAAGCTTAAGAATAGCTTTTGATATGAATGGGAATCTTAATCAAGAAAATTACATAAGCTCCCTTCAACTGGGCTAAGGATGTTGTCATATCGGAACTTGTTCATATCGAATGAGTATTTTCTGACATTCCAGTCCATAACTGAACTCTAATCTAAAATTATTCTGTAACTAGTTGAACTATTTTATTTATTATATAACTTTAATAAGAGTTTAATTGTTAAAATTATATTAATTGCATGACATTTTCCTACAGAAGTGTCATTGTGGAACTAGTTCAATTAATTATATTAGCCTTGAGCATGAAAGAAACAATCTGTGCGTAATTTGGAAGCCACTTTAACAAGAGTTTAATCTTTCCACATAAATGTATCTCTTAAATGCTTGTATCTGAGTGATTCAACTTGAAATACTTTGGGATTATCACACATTGAACGGCAAAAGTCAAAAGTATTGAGCGGTCGATTCAATCGTGAGTTATTTATATAGATTCCCTGTCATGCAGGGCACTTAGTTCGTAACTTCAACAGCTGCACTGAGATAAGAATGCGATGAGATTGCAATTTACGAAAAGTATCTGCGCCAGTCGCTAATATTAATTTCCCCAACTTTGAGCAAAGTGCAAAAGTCATGCCAAAAAAAAAAATAAATGAAAGAGAGAGAGAGAGTGGCAAAAACTCTCAAGAGTCATAATCATTGTGGCGCAGAGCGTAGAAAACTCACGCGAATGTCAAAGTTAATGCGCTTCAATGTCAAATTGAGAAAAGAAATAAAAAAATAAGAAGAAAAAAAGTAAACCAAATAAATCTATGGGCTTGCAGAAGTGCTTGATTTGGCCAGGCCTAGAGTGAAGCCAGTAAAACAACAACAAACGTATAAAGGGCAGACATTTTATGGCTGTCATTGTCGGGCATTGGATTTGAACTAGAGGGTTCGAGGTTCAAACTCTGTTAAGAGTGGGGCTTTGTCTTTGTGTCTAGCGGTTAAGTGCTTTGACGCCTATGGCCCTTCCAATGCTGTGCCACAATACAAACAAAAGCGTCCTTTGACGCATTGAGCTTATCCTTTGTCATTTCTTGCCACTTTTTCTTTTACTCTATTCCATTTTTTTTTTTGCTATAGGAAGCAACATAAAAATTATGTTGCAGTGGTTTTTATTTATGGTGCGAGTATGAATTGCTTTTCTCGCTGTTAAGCTGAAATTTATGTCTCTATTGTTTTAAGCGCATTGCATGAACAACATCATGAATAGATGTATACACATATTTATATCTGCATTCTAATTCAATAAGCCAGCTATTCAATAAAACCGCATCACAACTAAACTATAATTCATTAAATGTTGCCTCATGTCGATAATAAATTGTTTCACATTTCGTTTAGTACTTTTATGCCGCATACCATGCCAAGCATTATTGCGATCCGTAGCTGTTAATTGTAATGCTGGCTGGGGCCTTATGATTGAAATATATTACCCAGCAAACTGTGGGTATTACACTTTAGTGGATATTTCTACAGAAGAATTTTAGTATTCGGCATTGATCGATTACATTGACTCATTAGATATCGATAACATATTTTTCTGTCTTCTCGGGGAAACGATAGCTTAACTTGATAGTCAGTGTGCCGACCTTTGGCTTATTATGCTACTCAATCATAGTGGAATTTTTTATAGCTGAGTTTTAATAATCTGCTTGCACTGATAACATTATTTGGTAAGATATCGATAGTATAAATAAATTTCTTTTATTTTGAAATACTAATTATACAAATTTTACCTGAAAATGTGTTTGCAGCTTCTAGTTTGAAAACTTCAAAAAGTATTCCTGTATTTTACCTCTTTGTTTTTCCCTATTTTTCTGTTTGTTTTCATTTTGCATATTTATTTGATTTTAAGGGACACAGAGAATCCCATGCTAAGTGCTGGCTTCAACTTGGTTAGCTCTGTTTAATGAACTGTACATGAGGAAATTATATTTTGCAAGCAAGCAGCAGATACAGATACGAAAAGAGTGTGTGAGAGAGAGAGAGGGAGAGAAAGAGAGAGAGTCTGTGTGTCACGCATAGATACAGATACAGATACATGTACAATCTCACATGCTATACAAATGCACAGTTTAATTTTTGCTTGTCAAGCTTAATTTGCGCTTGAATGCATTGCCTGTCTAATGTGTGTGTGTGGGTGTGTGTGTGTGTGTGTGTGTGAGGATTGCATGCACGAATGACAGGACACGGCAGGCGATGCCACAAGAAGCAGAAACAGCAGATGAAGAAGAAGCAACAGCAGTAAAGCAACTTCATTCCCAAGCTGGACGAGAAGTTGTACGCACCGTCAGCATTTGTTTGAGAATGTTGTCATTTCGGATTGCATGACAGCAATATAATTACAGTGAGCACTGTTTAGAAAAAACTTAATTTGATTATTTTTTTTAATTTTTCAGTTTTTCAACCATATTCCTTGTGTATTTGTGGATTTTTGAATCCCCAACAAAATAGATACACGAATTAATTGTATGATTGCTATATAAAAGTTGTTTTGATGAAAAACAAAACCGTTTTCCATTCATTTTTCACGCTTGTGTGTGGAATATGTCAGACGTCGTTTTAGTGAAAAATCCTGTAGATTCTCTGCTCACCTGCTTGATTCGTACTTAAGCAATAACGACTGTAGCTAGCTGAGCAATTGATTAAGGTTTCCGTGTATTTCAGTTATATTATTGAAATTGATGAGCCTTGCGGTTGAGCTAAGCGGGTGGTCTGCTTTCTGGATAAATTGAGTGGGCTTTACTACCTTTGGCCAAATGCAAAATGCGTCGCAAGCCAGCGAAATGGGGAAGCGGAAGTGGGGCCCAACAACCTCTACTTGATATGCTATTAGCGATGCGGTTTGCCGTCTCGGGCAGAGAATAAGATGAAATAACGCCAGCCACTAATGCGCATTGATTTTCACATTTCCACTGGCGTCATTTTCC